GTTTTATTTGGAATAAACTTGTGCATGTATGAACTGGAACCTTAGTAGTAATACTTTTTGACTTACACGCATAGTTCTGTTAGGACGGTGGGATTGTGGATTTTCAAAAATATTTTCTTTGTTGTTATAAAATAATAGCAATAATAACAGTGAATTCACCGAACAAATGATTTTGTGGGTGTAGAGAGGAGATACTGATAAGTAAATAAGTAGAGGTTGGAGCTTACAAAAAGGAAAACCATTTAAAATAATAAATCTTCCTTTCCTACATTTGCCATTATTTGTCAGCTTAATATTAAGATCTATATAGTATTTAAAACATTTTCAAAGGAACTGGTTAGTGGCATTTGGAAGGGAGCCTGAACTTAACTATATCTGGATTTGTTTGCCATGATGATTGCAGTAGGAACTAAATTTTGAAACCGTTGTCTAAATATGCTCTAGCTTGGGAATCTTGCCTGAATTCACACTTAGGAATCAAGAAATAGTTTGGAACAGAACCCACTTGCATAATAAGTAGGAATATAGAGCAAGAGAAATTCAATAGAGAAAATTTCAAAAATAAAATTCTTTAAAATCAAGTTGAAATGACTATTTGGATTAACAAAAGATCATGGAAACTGATGCCTACTTTAAATTTCTATCTGTCTGAAAGCTCTTGAAGGCTGCTGGGAACATATCCTCATGTCGGTTATGTTAATATTAACAATTTGCTAAAACTGTTGATTTGAATGAACTACTCTATTTTCCTTTAAAGGGCTCAAATGCTTTTCTCTTCTTGTTTTCCTTTTTCTCTACCTCTGTTCAAAAGAATGACAGTTTTATCCTGAATAGTATCTAAAAGTGCTGATTTGGGGCACCAGGCTACCTCGCTTCATATTAGAAGGGAGTTGCTTAATTTGGGATGTTAAGAAAAATCCACACACATAATCACTCATTTTATTCTTTCTGGTCAAACAGAATTAAGTCTCTCAGCCCAACGTTTGCAAACCTTTTTTTTTTTTTTTTTTTAGCACAACAGAATATTTCCTCAAATGCATACTTGGATACCTTAAAGATCTATCTAAAGCACGTGGATGGAAGGAAAGACCTGAAATAGGTTCCTTCTGAACTAGGACTTGAAAGTGATTAAATACCTTATATCCCTAAACTAGTAGTTGACCCTGGATTTGGAAAATTGGAGGGTTTGTGTCTACGTGTGTGTGCATGTGTGTGTTATATATATGAAGAAGCTTGAGCTGGTTCCACGAAATCAGAAAGTAACCTTTCCAAACCCCAAACCACACCTGACACCAGGGCCACCTCTTTTCAGATCTTGTATAAGATTTGATGAGCCTCCGTGAACATCTCTTTCTGATGTCTCTATATCGTCTTACCTCTAAAGATTCCCCCAGTGGTGAACACATCAGAGGAAGTTTTTATTCCTAAGAGTTATCCAGTAATCTTCACCTTCATAGAAATATGATTTTCCTCTTTGAAAATGCATTAGAATTATTAAAAGGTATTGTGATTTCAGGAAACTATTCTTCCACCCATCCCAGATCTAAAGTATTAGAT